CTTATCCACTTTGCAGGCCTCCAGAGAATGAGGTTATGCAGTTGGGAATTCTGTGTCTCACTAAAGTTATTAATATGTAATAATTACTTGTCAAACAAGCTAATGATTGTTACTTACATATGATGCGAATGATTGAGATGTACAAAGTTCAATTAATCAAACTATTACAAATTTTTTATAATAAAAAATAATACGAGAACTCAATCGACGCGTTTCTTTCTTCGCTTTTGCCAGCTCTACACTTGCTAGTGGCTAGTGCAGGACTGGCAGCGATCACTGGTGTCAAAAATAGTGATTTTAGTGACCATGTTGAAGAAATAAGTGACCAAATAGTGACTTATAGTTGTAAAAATAGTTACTAAAAAGTGACCTAAGAGAAAATAAATGTTTGATGTTTTAGACTTATTCACCAAGTATCTCATAAACACTTATGTACGATATGAACCTTTGAAATGAAAGATTCAATAGAAAGTTTATGGCCAAACCCACAGCATTAGTCAGGGTGTCTACTAACTGCAAAAACCTGGAAAACCGGGAATCCTCCCTGAAGTACCTTCAAGAAATTTTCAAGTTTCTGGAGTAAAAATCCATGGACAGTTTTAAAAGTTCGTGGAATTTTACTTTAATTTCTAAAGACCTTCTTTTAAGGAAGTTCTGGGAAAAGAATCTTTCAGAAAAAACATCAAATGCAATCTGCTTTTAAGGTAGTTATGAAGAATTTTAGATTTCTTGTGAAGCCTGAAAGTTTTGACAAACATTTGAAGAAACCCTGAATTGAATTAAAAGTAAAATTTAATGAAAACTCTGAAAATTTCTGAGGAGCACAACTCCTTCAGAGAAAAATTCCAAGGACCTTCTGAGGATAATTTTATACAGTTTTGGAAGAAAACGAATCCGGAGCATAAGTCCTTGGAATCTTTTTGAAAATACAAAAAGGAGGATTACAGTTAAATCTGAGAATAACTCCAGAACATCTTCAAAAGAATTCGGAAAGTAAATTCAGAAGGGTTTGCCAAACAAATTATGCGAAAAAATCTAAGGAATTTGTGGGGAGAAATGCCACTGAATTCTTAGGAGACTTTCAATGTGAGTAGAACTCCAAGGGAAGGATATCTGAAATGAATTCAATTAATATTTGGAGAGTTTTTTCAAAGGGTTTCTTATTGTGGAGAATTTCAAGGTTATTCAGAGGAAAATTAAAAGAAAATTGAATTAGGAGGATAGGTCTGAGGTCTGAGGTCTTCCGAACTACTTGAAAGTTCCCAAATTTTTCCTGAAGTTAATGAAACTGCCTTAAAATTCTTTTGTAGTTTGAGAAACTATGCTCACTGATGCTCACAATACTTCTCATCAAATTCTAAAACTTCCCTGAACTTTATAGGCCATCCTAAAGTTTACTCAATGTTTCTAACGTTGCCTTGAAATTTCGACAATTTTCGTTAAGTATTATAACCATTATAAACGATCACTAATTTTCCCTGAATTTATCTATGGTTACCTGAAGTTCTCTAAATTTTTTTTTAATAATCCGGCAAATTTTCTGATATACATTCATAATTCCCTGACGCTTCTGACGTTTTCGTATCAATCATAGAATTCATAGAATACCCCATAACGGAACACAAGTCTCTGCAAATTTGCTTAAATTAGTGGTATCATTCTGAAGCTTTCTGATCGTCCTTGAAGTACTCGGAACTTCGCTGAATATCATGAAACTATCTAAAAGTATCTAAATTTATAATAAGTTCTCTGGAATTTCTTGAAGATATCACCGATTGCTAAAAGTTCTCGGAAAGCTGTTTCTTTAAAACTGATTACCATGTCTTAAAAAAAGTTTGAGTAAATTGCTGTTGTTTTTGATCTACAAAAAAAGCATATTTTAACGCATTTAAAAAATAGCTTTCTTAACCAGGAAGTTATCCGTTTAAGCACTGGAAAAATTTGGAAAACTCATGTAATTCTATTTAGCAAAATGAGTAGACGCCCTGTAGATAGAGAAATACGCTTAAACGCCACAAAGCAAATAATGATCTTGAAATAAATTCACGCTAAAATAGTTGAAAATAGTGACTGATTATACGAAAAAGTGACTTTAGTGACTTGGCCTTAAAAAAAGAGACTTTTTAGTGACTGGCTTGAAAAAAGTGACCAAGTCACTAAAAAGTGACTCGCTACCAGCCCTGCTAGTGCATACTCATTCCCGCAGGGCTTCTACACTCGGCAGGGTTGCCGATTCAGCTGCTGCGGAGACACTCATCATCCGTGAACATATCAAATTGATTGCTCAAAGAAATTTCATCAGTAGGGGGGTCATTGCCCTTTTATTTTGCGTTTCAGCACCATGGCGGCAGAAGAACGTTTCTCAGATTCGACTTCCAAGCAGATTTCTATAAGAATCCGAAGGATCGAAGCGAAATTTTCCAAATTGATATCCAAGCATATCGGATAGGGTCCTAACAAGGATCGAACAAGGTAGAATATTTGCAGGTAATATTTAGCACTGAGGAAGTGCTGTTTAAATTTGTTGTAGCTTCCCTCAGCAAAAAGCAAATAGATCCGCACGGCAAGAGAGCCTGAATGCCAGACACGAATCATGGGGTGGTTGCTTGCTGTTCGAAGAGTCTCTGCTAGGATATTTTGTCGTTCACGCTACTCATCAACCAACATTTAAAATTGATCAACTATCTGCTTTTTAATTAAAAAAAGTTACAGTTTAAAATTGTCCTGAATTTTAGTCTAAAAGTTCAACCAAGTCTTGTACGATGCCCTGATTTATTATATGAATCCGTAGAACTTCGTGAGACCTCAACAAAATATCTTTGAATCTCCACATCATCCTGGATCATTATAAACATTTAAAAGGATGTTGTCCAATGTCCTGGCTAAATGTTTGAACCCATATAGCTTCGTGGAGTCCCATAATATCATACGGGATACAAAGTTGCATTGACTTGCCCTCCAAATTATCCTAAACATAAGATCAAGATGTTCTACAAGCTCAACGAAGTCTTGACCGATGTACTGGTCCATTATACGTATCCGTAGAGCTGTAGCATGTATTAGTAAAGCCCGATTTAAAGTAAATTTGGACGCATTCAAGTGATCATAACTCAACCATTAAACAATATACACGGTTGATCAAAACGTCAAACAAAAGGGTATTTATTCAACTTTCAAACGATAGATAACAAGTTATTACATTTCACCGTTTCTAACTCGGTTACGAACGAACTGTCGTACTTTACTTGTGATCGATGCCATCATGATCTGCACAGTAGCTGGTGACACTGTACCGGCGAACTTATTCCACTTTAAACGCATTTGTTGTGCATTTGTCACTTCTTTACCGCATCCTCGAAGTTTTCGCTTGACAGTTGCCCAATATTTTTCGATCGGTCTGAACTCAGGGCAATTCGGAGGATTAATCTCTTTGGCGCCGAAATTAACATTGTTTGCAGCATACCATTCTAGCAACCGGTGAACACTCGTGTTTATTTCAGTTACCATGGAGACGTAATTTGTGATTAGCCCCGGTCCCTTTCAAATTGTATCATTATTTATGAACGGTTCTTATATTTGAAATGACGTTTCACATCCATCTAGTGATGTCCGATTTTCATTCGAATAATCGTTTAATCGATTAACGAACCGAAAAGTAAACTATTTATAATCGGTTAGATCATGCCGATATAAGCATTAACATCTCCACAGGATCATCACCGATCGTTTCAAACATGTGCTGCACTCTCATTGGTATAAAAATGGCAGCACAGCGAACAAAAAATAATCGATTAGTTGTTAATCGAGTAATTAAAAAATGGGACATCTCTAACTTTGGTGTGATTGTTTTGATAAAAATGAGCGCAAAATTTCATCTCTTCCGAGGGGGCAGCACAACCACAAAATTACCTTGAATACGGGGGGTTCTCATTGGATGAAAGGGACCGTGAAAGAAGACACTAAAATAGAAAGTTTTTCTTCCGACAGTTTCATCTTAGTATTCATCTTTGATTCTAGTACCTCCTTAGAGTAGTGGCAGTTGGCTAGATCCGGTCAAAACATAACGTTGGTCTTGTGTTGCCGAATGAAGGGTAAAATCCGCTTTTTCAGACACTATTTAATGTAAACCTTCGACGTCATTGTGTGAGATGTGATGAAAACCTTGGTTTTAAGACCACAACTGCAGATTCCTTGCCAAATCATTAGTTTCCGAGCAAACTTATCAGCAAAAACAAATTTATACATGGAAGGGACATCCCCACGACCAGTTGCCAGGTAACATTTTTGTCCGGGGATTTGTTTATAATCCATTTTGACATATGCTTCGTCATCCATTAAAATACAGCCATCAAATTTCGTCAAAACTCGTTCGTATAGTAATCGTGCTCGCTTTTTGGCCACTAAATTTTGTTTCAGGGAGCGATTCGGATGTTTACTGGCACAAAAAGACTTATATCCTTCTCTCGAAAGGATGTTACGAACGGTGGAAAAGTTGGAATCGTATTTTATGATAGATGCGCTGTGCTCTATCCACACTCAGAGTATCCTTGCAACGTTTGATTACAAGACTCACCGTTGACTTTGGGAATTTTAACACTTTTGCTATTTTTGAGGCAGACCACGAAGGGTTCTCTAGATGTTTGTGCACAATTAATTTTCTTTTCTCAGGTTCCATGATCCTTAATTTCGGGATGCGTCGATCAATCGAGAAAAACTTTTCACCAATTTCTTCGTCAATGAAACATCAACAAATGCCTGTCAAACGTTTTTTGTTCCAACCACCAGGGGCGCGGTAGTGTATTGAACCGTGCGTCCAGATTTACTTTGAATCGAGCTTTATTAGCAAAATATATTTGATTCTCCAAGCATGAAGCTGGAACTCACATCTTGGAGCACTACAGACTCAACAAAGTCTTGCCCGATGTCTTGATTGACTGTACGAATCATCCTGATTAAAAAATAAATGTTTTGAATGAAGTAAACCACTAATGTACACTCACCTAACACTTGATTGAAGATTTTGTCGAAGTTCACCTCGTTCTCCTTCTCCAGGTATTTGTGCATCACACTTCGAACACTGTAAATAGAAATAGGAAAAAGTACGAAAACCAGAATTATTCAACCGCACTTCATTCGACAAGGCAGAGAAAGACTTTTAATTAACCGTACCGGAGCCACAATATCCCACTCTGCTATCCCTCCCGTATCTAATGATGATGATGATGATGATGATGGAGACTTTTCCGAGGCGAAGCTTTGCTCTGTGCCGTCCTACCGACCGGATCTCATTCTTCATTTCATTCGCTAGCATTAGATATTCATGGAATATCTTAACGACTGCTTTAGAATCGTAAATTATTGACAGACCCGCCACCCTCTAACCAGGGGCGGTGCTTCTATTCAGTTCACTGGTTGCATATGGTCACCTGCTCCCTCGAGGGAGCCGGTGGCATATTGTGGGAAAAATTACTCAACCCAAGTTTGGAAAGGGGAGCAATCTTTCGGTTTTGCCCGATGTTGTTGCTCAACCAATCAAGATTGCTTGTATCATTTTTAATAATTAAATTGATTATACATCACCTGTCGACTGCATTGCATCGGACTTCTCTCCGATGAGGTTATGTGACCTTTGAAAGACGAGCCATCTGCCAATATAGGGACAATAAAAAAAAGGCAAATCGAAGCAATCCAAGTACCTACACGTGTTGGCTAATCGAAGTGTACCGTTCCAACCGCGTAGACGGATGGCAAAAAGAGTGACTCGGTTGCTTGCACAGATTGACGTCAAACTGGCCCCGTGCGCAAAGTTCTAAAGTTCCCATAAGCCATTTTTTCCCCTCTCTCCACCGTTGTTGGCTCACTTCAGCTCACAGTATTTACTTTTGCTACGATAGGTGAGTGGAAATCTTGGTTTTGCCTACCTGCTCTTTGCACTCGAGTGATCTGCTTCTGCAAACGAATGCGAATGCAAATAAATTCCTTGGAAGCCACCGACCATCGACCGGCAACGGTGATGACGTGGTACAGAGTGCGCTGTTGCTACGCAACTGACGGTCGGTCTCATCTCTTCTCGGAAAACCATTTCGATTTCCCACGAAATTCAATCACAACAGTTTGACACCTGAATGAAATTTCCAATCAAGCATTCCCCACCAGCTGGGCAAACAAATAAAAAAATAAGGGAAAATGTGACAGTTTTTTCTCCCCCCGAAATTCGATCGCAGTAGACGCTGTCTTCGGAAAGTATTAAATCTGAATTCCGTCGCTAATCCTTCCCGGAACGGTTTGTGTCAGTGGGGTGTCGTCGATGGGGGCAGCACGTGCGCGGGGAAAAAACAAGAACCTTTCAGCTTTCGCCTCAGTCGGGGGCAATGGAAAGTTGGAGCAAAAAATCGTTGGTATGTTTTATGGTCGTCCTTCGCCGGGTCCATTCATCATAACACCCACCCACCGCATAAAAGGATTAATTTGAAGGTGTACCTACACTGCACCAAACAGCACAGCGCAGTGTCGAGCCCCTTTTTTTCGCGCGCGTTGTTGCGGCAAATAAGGGGAAGGACAAAGTTTTTGTTTACGGGCTGGTTTTTCCCGATGACTTAGGGGCAGCTGCGGGAGCCTGGCTGTTGTTGAGAAGTAATTAAATTAAGGTGCTAGTGACGGAGGAATTTGCGTGAGACGGAAGTGAGCACGGTGAATTTGTTTCAGTACGTGACTCGGCAGAGCTTGAGTGATTGAACATTGACGAACGGGATCGGGTGGGATTTTACTGCTTAAATATTTTCCCTTTAATCAGTTTAAGAGAAATTAAAGAGCTCTACAATACCATAGAGGTAACTCTAAGACTAGTAGGTCCCGAAGAAACGTGCTCAACTTTTTGGCTCAGCTCTGGTACTATCTTCGGTCCCAAGCTAATCGATTCACCCCTCGAAACATAGGAAAATCCAATAACCCCTCATTTTATCTGTCAAACTTTCTTAGGGAATCAAAACAAACATTGTGTAGTGCTAGAATTTCGACTAGAATGGGGTTCGTTAATCGTTTGCTTGGGACCAATAGGCTAGTCGTAGAGAGCCAATTTAAAATCGTTAGTTTCATATTGATTGTTGACAATACTGCCTTTAATCGCATATCAGTCCCATATGGATTTTCGTCAATTTTCAGATTACAACGCACCCGGTATCAATTGTCATCCACTTTCATAATTGGGGAAATGGCTCTAATGTTGGCCTATCCTGCTTTCCATGCTCGGTAATGGTGGCCTGTTTGTATGAATAAATGTATCCTTCACTGTGCTTGTTGACACTAACTGGAGGGCGTATGTTGTTCCATTTTCTTCTGTTCCTGGGAGAGGGAAAGGGATGGGTCAAAATCCAAACATCCAGATAGTGACAAAAAGCACAGTGAAGGATACATTTATTCATACAAACAGGGAAATGGATGTAATGTAGGCCTAAGTATCCCTAATGTGGGCCCATACATAAATTCAGCAATCGACTAAATTTTCAATAGCGACCAAAAATATCCATTAGTACCGTCCCAATGACGCGTTCATCTAGATAAAATTGATAAATAGCAGATTTTAAGCGATGGGCCCAATCTTAGATCCATAGGCCAACAGTAGAACCATTTCCCCTATTTATAAATTTACTATGCTTTTTTTCAAATATTTAGATCGGAATCACACTTCGTAACTTCAATTGCCATTTTCTCAACGGCTACTTTTTCAATATGGGACTGATATGAGATTAAAGGAAGAATACGTCTACTATGCAGAAACAAATATGAAATGGGATTTTCATGAACACGTTGAAGACCTAGATCTCCTAAACCTAATGGAATTATGAAATCGCATTCAATCAATGATTTGTTATGTTCTATAACAGTTTATATAACCTTTATATTACTGGATTTGGTTGTAAAGAAGTTTACTCAACATAATTATATGAATTGGTTTTACTTGGGGTTGTCTCTGTATGATGAGAAAAGCATGTATCTATAAAAAAAAGACCAGAGCAGAAGTAACTCGGTTTTAACATTTCTCCAAATTTTCCTGGAGTTTAGATCTTGAAATGAAGTCTCTCCTTTAACCTCGAGACAACCGCAAGTATCCGGTCCAGCTCCTTTAACTTTAAATAATCAATAATGTATTACGAAAATGATAACTCGGCTCTGGAAAGTTTATTCGATTGAGCCTGTACAAATTAAGTAATTAATAAAAAAAAAAGATCTTGAAGTTGTACAGAAGACTTAACAAAGCAATAATTGGAACACAAAGTTGTACTGTATGTATGTATGTAAGGTAGCCACCATCCCTTCAAAGATCTTGTCTTGTATGCAGCTCCACTTAATAGCAAGATCAATTTGAGCTACCGATCTGAATTCACAATATCGCTGTATGAAGGGCCAAAAACGGAGGTGCGGACCCGTAAGCAGAGACACTTACACGAAATCCACGGGAATTTAAGAATCTCCTTCCAACGATACGATCCAACAAATCGAATAACACAATTCGCAATACTTATTAAGCTTCCTACAGGATGGTTTGTTAAGAAGGGCGCGTCAATCTCCATGAAACTGTTGGAGTAGAATTTACACCACCACAATCGAATCGGTAGGATAAAGAAAATGATAGTGTTTATTCCCTCCTAGACTCCGGTTGTCATACCACTCCATCGTCCAGTCCCAGGTCAAATGATACCCTGATGCTCCCTCCCAACCCAGTATTTATTTATATAATGAAAATATATGTAGTGGAGAAATGAAATATATCAAAACATGAAATATGAAATAATGAATATAAAATTATATAGATAAAATAGTTGATATTCTGCAATGAAAACAATAATTATTTTACATATAATAAGATGCAGCTCTATGTTTCTTCAGCTCACAATATCAAGTGGATGTAACACTGAAATTTCAAGATTATATTAAGCATATAGGGGAAATGTAGGTAATGTCGGCCTACATGTCCCTAATTTGGGCCCATCGCTAAAAGTCTGCTATTTATCAATTTTAACTAGATGAACGCATTATTGGGACGTTACTAATGGATATTTTCGGTTGCTATTGAAAATTTAGTTGATTGCTGAATTTATGTATGGGCCCAAATTAGGGACACTTAGGCCGACATTACCTGCATTTCCCCTATATATATTTTTATCTCTAATTACTAATAATGTAAGGATGTAAATGTAAAGTGTAAATGTGATGTGTAATTAACATGACTAACAATAAAATGGAATTACGAGAAAAATAAAGGAAAGATCTCACCCGATATGTTGCAAATGAATCCATGACATCACGATGATTTCGAAGAGCTCCAATAGATATGCTGCTGCTACTTCTTCAAGCGGTGTTAAAAACAGCACTCTCGCCTTTCGGTTCTCACACAGCAGAGCAAACCCCATCAACCACGAAATACACTCTAGAGGGATATCAGCAGAGGAAAAAAGGACTGCATCCACTTTCCATCACCAATCACTTGCGACGCCAGCTCCGATCACTTTTGTAAGCCGTAAACTACTGATTCACGGTAACGTCGACCACCGAATCACCACCAAAACTCGCGACGGACACATTATCTGCACTTTGCCCGGCTAATTTGGCAACTGGACCGTGTTAAACTCACACCCGGTGACGGCAAAAAAAAGGAATCGATGGGCAATTTTGTGATACGGAATTTCCACAATAAACCGGGAATGCACAAATTTCACCACATCCAACTGCGAAACACGTTTAGGAGCACTTTTGGTACACTTTCGATCGAACACACTAAATTTTTTTTTTTTTTTCAAAAATAGTTGCGAGTGAACCAACATCATCACCGCGTAAATAAACTAAAATTAAAATTATCACTCGCGATGGCACAAGTTTCTGATCCGGGAGAAAAAATCAACCAACGCAGATAGCGTCAAATCTTCTGTTGCTTGCAAACATGAAGAATCATGTTTTCTTTTTCGATTCTAAAACTTCTCGGAAAGCGAGAAAACCAATCACACACGCATAACCGTCCGGGAGGCAGAATGCCAGCGCTAATCCGTCAAATGCAACCGAAAACTATGAATGCGAACGCAC